CTTACTGATTTTCATTTCGGAGGGTGCCTGGACCCCTGGCCAAACCTCTGTCTACGTCGGTACTTCTTGAAATATCAATTGTGGTCTTTTAAAAATCCGCATAACTCTGATAACCCTTTAGCTACCAGAGTTTAAAAGACATCACATATCGATATTAGCCTTAGCCTTACAGTACGACTACTATTAAATATTGAAATCCTCGGCTAAAGTAGCAAATGCTCTGCTATTTAGCTCAGCCCACGGCTATTTAGCTCGTTTTTATACCCTACACCACATGGTGGTAAGGGTATTATGTCTTTGTGCATTTGTTTGTAACATGGAAAAGGAAGCGAGATAGACCCATAGTTACTTTTGAGGATCCCCATAGAATCACTTTCTGAGTTAATTTATGCATGTCAGTCCGTCTGTCTGTCCGTCCGTCCGTCTGTCCATGTATTGTGAACAAAATGCAGGTCGCATTTATTGTCCGATTGAGATGAAATCTTGCACAAATCATTTGTTTGGCCCAAGGACGAACCCTATTGAAATTGGAGATAATCGGTAAAAATTAGATATGGCTCCCATATATATCTTCGTCCGATTCGCCTTTTATTGTGCACCAAACGTGTAATATCAGTCCGAATAGTATGGAATTTTGCACATACAACCAAATTAGGCCTGAAAATAAGTATGCCAAATTTGATCAAAATCGGTTCTGATATAGCTATAGCGCCCATATATATGTTTCATCCGATTTGTTATTTTTGTCCTCCGCAGCCGTAATATACACTCTGTAACAACAATATTTGGGGAAATATATTCAATACAGCTAAGAAATACATTTGCCAAATTTTATCGGGATCGGTTCAGATTTGGAGCTATTATGTCAAATTTGGTGAAGATCGGTTAAGATATAGCTATAGCTCCCATATATATTGTCCATCCGATTTCTACTATGTGTTATCTACAGGCGTAATATGCACTGCGTAACAACGATATTTCAGGAAATATATCATATACACCTCAGAAATATATTTGCAAAATTTTTTTCGAGATCGGTATTTTGCACTTTAAATTATAATTATAATCATAGCGTGTATGATTGAATTCTCCCATAAAAACTTTTAATTGTTACGCGGAGCTCTACTAAATTAGCAAAGTGGTGTAGGGTATCATAAAGTCGGCCCCGCCCGACTTTAGGACTTTCTTTACTGGTTATAAGCTAGAAATTTGTTTAGGTCTAGCCAAAAGCTAAAAATTCAGCACACAAAATAAACAATAGCTCTAGCAATAGCTCAATTGAGTGATGCCCGTCCGTCTGTGGATATCACTTATCCTTCCGAATGCAATGATGTAGGTGAAAACATTTTACTCAGATGTGTGTTTGTTCTGCAGGTATTGAAAATGGGTTATATAGGTCCACGTTTTAGTATAGTCCCATATACCTGTGTCCAAAGATTTCAGGTTTTTTGCCTGCATTAGTCACAATTTAAACCCAATTTTCTGTAAATTGACAGCCTATGTTCCCATTATGTAAGAAACATCCTTGCATAGAACTGTCAAAGTAGGTGTAAGTTTTGATATAGTCCCCACATAATTTTACAACTAAATATTAATACAATTTTACTCAGATGTGTGTTTTTTCTGTAGAACTTTAGGTTTTGAAATGGGCTATATATAGGTGTATGTTTTGGTATAGTTCCCATATAACTCTACCGACAAATTCAATGTTTTGGGGTGTTTTTGTCACAATTTTAATCTTTTTTTAATTTACTGTAAATTGACAACATGAGTTCCCAATATTTCTTACATATATCGTTACATTAAACTTTCAATATAGGCCTAAGTCTTGGTATAGTTCCCATATAACTGTATATCCATATATTCGATATTTTAATGATTTGTGTCACACTTTTCACTGGAAATGTTTTAAATTTGCAATTTGATGTTCCAAATGGGTAAAACATTGTATGACAGAAAATTGCACACATAGAAAATTGCATATAATTTGTGAGTACATTACTCCCTGGAAGAGAATTGTCTATATAGGTCCACGATATCATATATCCCCTATATCCTCCCGATATTCGGTATTTTGATGATTTTTCCGACGTTATTCACCGGAATCGTTTCAAATTTCTTACACGTCTTCGTTTTGCCCCCCATATAACGGTTTTCATTTGAGCGGTATTTTCCGACTGATTTTTTTTTTTTTTTTTAAATTTTCAAGTTTCTTCCAAATGGTGAAGGGTATAAATACTTAGCTTCTTTTTTACGTGTTTTTTTTTTTTTTTTTAATTTGCAAATGTCTCTGCTGGTCCTTTAGAAAGGATTAAAGCTACGGTGGCCCTTTAAAAGATCCACCTGCTGTCAAAAATCAAAAGTTACGAAGTTAGTTGAAGCCTCCGTTCGCTTTTTTGGCTTTGATATAATATTGGTCCCAAATAATGTTAACCTCAAATGCCTTGAAATTGATTTCGTTGTTTCGATTAAGCACATTTGGCTCATCGTATAAATATTAAAAATCGATTTAAAACAGTTGAGTAATGACCTTGTGACTCGCGTAAATGCTAATGTCACGGTTTGTTACTGCTCGTTCGTCGTAACCTACCACAACAATTTAAATGGATGAAAAACATTGAAATGTACAATAAAAAAAGAAGTTCGCAAAGGTCAATGTTCCAAAAGTGTTAGTCAATTGTGTTTCTTATACGAACGAACATATTTAAAGCAAAACGAAGTGAGGTTAAATATCATTAAATGATGTGCTTCGATTTAAGAATTTTTATGGCAATCGCCAAAGCACTTTAAAGTGCAACATAAATAACCTTGATTTAAAACATGACAGCAGCAGGAAGACACAGCCAACGAATGCCAAAGAAAATGAGAGAGAGAGAAGGACTCGAAAACATGACTACCAAATGTTGATATAAGAAGAAGCTAAAATAAAATATAATTTAACAGTAAGTTCAACACCCACATTTTTCTGCTTTTGCTGTGTAGTTGGTTTCACGACGGACGAGGAAGAAGATGAAGGAAGAGGTTGTTTAAGACTAACAGTTTATGTAAGCAAAAGTAATCTGCTGTTAGTATTGTTGCTTGTTAACAGAGAACTCTTATTTTTTGGGGGTTATGGGGGAATAAGACATTTTGCATGCACACACAAATTCTAAACAAAACAAACAATAATGACAGCAAAATGTGTGCAGGGAGAGTTTGCTATTGTTTATTTAGTGATTTTCCCCTTGGAGACACCTGTCTACAGTTATATTCGCTGGCTTTGTTGTGGCAGAAAGAGCGAAAACGGGAGAATGACAACTCTTTCTTGGTTTTTAGTTGAAGTAAATACGAAATGTCTATTTTGTTTTGTTTTATTACTTTTTGTTTTGAGCAACAACACACGACGAGTAGGAAGAGAATTTGGGAATCCTTAGGCAAGAGTTGTAAATCTGCAAAACAGCAACAAACACAGCACAGTTAGCTTAAGCTCTCTTGTTGTGTTTCACGAACTTTCGATGAGAGAAAAAGTATAATTTGAATGTGTATGGGTGTGTTTGTGTTGCTTCGTTGTTTTGTGTGAGTGAGGGCCGCTTAATGTTGTTATTGCTGTTTTTATTTTTATTGGGATTTGTTGAGGAAAAACAAACCAAAACAATAAATCAAAACAGAGAGTTGGTGTTTGTGACAGTTGGGCGCGCATGTTTTTTTGGAGAGCATAAAATTGAGTTTTGTCGGAGAGAAATCTCTTTATGATTATTAAAGTAGTTGATGGAAGAAAATTTAAATAATTATTGCAAGTTGTATATTGTTGATTGGAAATGTGTCAATGATTGATGTGTTTTCTCGTGTTTGTCACATGGTCCACTTTGCCCTCAGCAATATATCCACAAGAAGAGTTGTGGTGGTGTTGGTTCTCAGAGTAGGCGCTGTAAAAAGTAGAGCACTATTCATTCGGTTTTTTCTATTACGAATAATAAGAGTGCTGCCAAAGCAAACCGTTTGTTGTGTTCCGTGTTATTTTGTGTTGCGTTGTGCTGCTGGCTAGCCTGGCTGCTTGACTGAGTCTAACCAACAACAGCAAAAGCCATTTATCAATTTAATGTTTTGGTAAATAACACTCATACTCATGTCTGACAGGCCTGGCAAAGGCTCTCTCTCTCTTTCCACACTGAAAAAGAGAGTTAAACCAACAACAAGCGAACGAGGCGACGAACGATGTGTTTTTGTTGCACACTTTTTATTTAGAGGTTTGGGTTGTATACTATTTTGTTGTGTAGTGTTGTATTGTGTTGTGAGCCATCTCGGGCCCTGTTGTTATTGTTATGCTGCTGTTGGGTGCGATGCAGCGGGAAACAACATCACCACCATCACCAGCATTGATGATGCTGCTGCACAACTGCCAAACTATTATGGGCCAACTGCTATGTTGGGCTAGGGAGTGAAAAGTTTGTTGCAAGAAGAGCATATTCTTCCTCTATGCCATCCATGATGCTCGTTGTTGGTTGTATTGACGGCACTGCTGTTGGTTGGGTTGTAGTTATTTTGCGCTCTGTTATAGTTTTACGACTTCTGTTGCCACTACTGCTATGCTGTTGTTGTTATTGTTGTTGGGTGTTGTGTGTTGTGCCCTCCTGTATGTGTTGTGTATGTTCCTGATTTTTGTATACGAAATAACAAGAACACTACAACGATGGACGGCTGGCTGCTTGGCTGGGTATGTTGTGAGGCAGCCAGCCGCTGTGGATGGCAATTGGAATAGTAGTTGTAGTAGTGTAGTAGGAGCATAGCATAGTAAGAGCAGCAGCAAATGTCCGTGTTTGGTGTGAGTATTTATATGTATGTGTTTATTTAGTATTTTATTTTTTGTTATTGTTTTTCGTTATGTGTGTGCGTTATTTTTTTCCGTCTTTGTGGGTTGTCAGCTCTCAACGTTGTCAGTGTCAAAAAGATGTTTTAGTCGTTAACATAACGTTTCAACGTAATCATCATGTCGAAGTGATTATAAGTGTTAATAAAAATAATAATAAATAAATAATAGTTATTTATTAATAAACGAAACAAAAAAATACAAAAAACAATGTGCAACATTTTTTGACAAAATACCTATCTCTATTAATAAAGAAACTGTGTCATCTAAACCGTGTAATGAATAAAAATTGAAATTGATTGCAAAAATTAGCATGTCTTCTTTGAAAAGGTGTCTGTTTACATTGTGTGGAGTGTCTGTCTGCCAGCCAGCCTGCCTGTCCGACTAAAATAAACACACACTGAGAAAAACGTCCAACTAACTTGCAGTTTTTCTGCATTGCAAGCGTGCTTTTCTGGAAGCCATTCTCGTTGCTACAGTCGTGTGAACCCTTGCTACACCAAGTTCCGTGTGTTGAGAAATGTGCATTCGTCGTTAATACCGTCGTCGTCATCTTCGTCGTCGGCGCTGTTGTCTGAAGAAAGATAAAACTTGCGCACTGTTGCAGAGCATGTGGTGGCAAGTCTGAAAGCTTACACTGCTCACCAGTGTTCGGGCAAGGGAGTTGAGAGTATTGCTTCCCCCAAAAACACAGGGTGGGGGTTAACGGTGTGTGTGTGTGTGTGTCGGTACAAATGTTGGTGTTTGTACAATATTGAGTGTATCTTATTGTTGTTGTGTTGTTGTTTTGTTTCGGCAAAAACGGCAAAACATAAAAATAAAAACAATATTGCGTTTAGTCGCTAATGGGACGTGGTAATGGCGACGACAACCTTTACGTATAGTGTTAACGCAAGGACGAGAAAAAAACGTAATATTGCAATGAAAGACGTAATTGTGAACTAATCAAGCAAACGAAGTTGCAAGAACTGAACATTGAAATTCATAATTGAACAAAGAACAATAACTAGTCATCAAAACATTGTAAATTTATTAATGAAAAAAAATTCAAAAATAAAAGTATTTCGAATCCCCAAAATCTCACGTTAATACATATCATTGTAGAAAAAAAATAAAAATTACACCAAATATGATAAATATAAAATCGCCAATCCACTTCTTTAAGATTTAAGAAATAAACTATGGAAGATTAATTGTAACACACCCAAACATTCCATCTCTGTGCCAACTAAACAATCAGTTGTCAACCCTAAAACAAATTTTTAACAGATGACCACTCTGGCATTTGACATTTGATTTATTTGACGCGTGTGTGTGTTGTTTGTTCGAGTGTAGCGACAAATGTTTATGAGTGTTTTTGATTGAAAGCTGATTTTTTGAACGATGACAACAAGAACACAATACAGTCCAACGGTCCCAAAAATAATAAGTTGAAGAAGAGAACAAATAACCCACAGCTCAAGTGACATTGACAGACACAAAAAATGTGAATGTGAATGCGAAGTGGGTGACAGAAATGCATCAAAGAGAAAGAAACTAAATTTGTACGAACAATTTTGCCAAAAATTATAAGAAAGAATTCGTGCCGAGCACCACAGTGATTGTACCTCACATTAAAGAGAAAAAAAGTGAAAGCCCTCCACCTCATACCCCATCTCATCGGCAACACAATTAACAAGTGTCTACTGTCTACATTGTTCTACAAACCTAGCTGACGAGCCGAACATTCAACCCCAACGTCCCACATTTGCTTGTTGCGTGTGGGAGTCCTGTGCGGATGTGTGTTAGTTAAACAGAATTACTAAACCCCTAGAACAAGTGTGTTCTGAGCTTATGTGTGTGTGTATGTTTATTTCTTTGGTGTGCGTTCCTTTTTGTTATCATTATGTTTTGGTTCGTGTAAATGTTGATTCATTGTGCTGATTTTTTTGCTGCAAAGGATTTCCGCGTGCTTGTCGTGTTTATTTGGGTTACTCGCTTACGCTCGTTGACAGAACCCTTTCTCCGATCTTTTTTTTTTGCGTGTGACTGTGGTTAAACACTTTGTTTACGCACTCATAGACCTACAACGTGCACGACCCCAAACCAACGCACGCACATACCATTGAAGCAGATTGTATTGCCCCCTCTAACCCATACACATACAGACAAATAAACAAAACAACCACATTATGATGCTGCACGAGGCTGTTATGTTGGAGATCTATCGTCAGGCATTAAATGCAAGGTGAATATAAAAATGTGTGCTAAATAGTATAATAAATGTAGACATAGATATACATATGTATGTATGTACAAAGCTATGTGAGAATATTAAAATATTTTCTTAAGCAATATTGAATTGTAGCTATATGGGTTATCTACTTGTTGAAGCGATTTTGCATAAATATTTAAAGAGGTCATTTAAATTTTGTAATTGTTATAAAGCTATGTTTCATTCTTTGATGACCTACAAATCATAGGCAGGTGAAATTTATTCCTCAACATGTCTGTGATAATTAATTTTATTTTTATACCCTACAACACTATGTGTTGGGGGTATTATAAGTTTGATTGGGCCAAAAATTATGTAACACCACGAAATATTGGTTTCCCACATAGGAAAGTATATATGGATCATCCTAGCTCGCCGAGCTGAGTCGATCTAGCTATGTATGTCCGTCCGTCCGTCTGTCCGTCTGTCCATGTTAATTTGTAATCACTCTACAGGTCGCAATTATGGCCCGATCTTCACGAAATTTGGAATGGAGGTCGGGGTCGGGCCAGAATAGAACCCTATTTCTTTTGGAGATGATCGCCAAATGTTTAGGGGTTGAAATGGACCAAATACTGAAAAAATGTCGGATTTTGCAGTAGCTATACATGTCGCTATTATAGACCAATCGACGCGGAATTTCGCATGTAGCTAGAGTTTAGGGCGGGGAAGAAGCCTACCAATTTGGGTGGTCATCGGATAATATTTAGCAGGTAAAATAGGCCATATCTTTTTTGTTGAAAAAATTCAAAATTTTTCATTAAACCGCGAATATTTTAAATCCCGGCGAAATCGCAAAGCCATGACAAGGTTCCTTCTGATCTTTACATTGATGTTAAGATCAAAAAAATCGAATATATAGCAAATACATGCGATTTATATGTCTATCAAAGAAGAAATGCTTGAAAGATCTCATATATGTCGAGAACGGCTGAACTGATTTCGACAGTTCTCATTAATTCAGAATAGCCTCTTGGCAGGAAAGGAAAAACGTCTAAAAAACGCATACAAATATCTCTCTAAAGATGAAAATATTGATTTTGATTTGATTTTCTCATATTTTTTCAATTTTGTCATATTTTTGGCATATTTTCATTTTGAATTAAACATTTGGTAATATTTCTACAGCTAACAAAACTAAGTAGTTAAGATATCAGGATATCATATACAGGTCGCATTTATGGCCCGATCCTTACGAAATTTTGCATGGGGATAAAATGAGGGTCAGAATAGAAGCCTACTCTTTTTGGAGATGATCGCCATATATTTAAGGGTTGAAATGGACCAAAAAATTGCAAAATTGTCAGCAGGTCGTAATTATCGCCCGATCCTCACGCACATTTGAATGGGGGTTACCGGAAATTGCAAAAGCCAAGCAGTTTTGGATGGCCATCCAAAATATTCAAAGTGTGAAGGAGTTTGCCAACTTTTGTAGACAAAATACGAAAATGTCCATTCCAGTGACTTTTTGGAGAATTCACAAATTCTTCGTTGAAGAATATAGTCAAATGTCTGTATCTCATATAGATGCGTTTCAGTCAAAAACCAATAATAAATGTTAATCTTTTGCCACTTCTGAGAGATTATAGGTCTTTGGGAAATATTGATTCCAGACCTAGGAATACCATTTAAGTGCAACATCTACCAATAAATTGGAAATGAGCAAATTAGTGCTATTATTCGAAAATTAGAGAACGAAACCTGATGGTTTTCTTTTATTATTTGTCACAATATCTTGTGGAATTCTTTCGAGTATCTTGTCTATATAAACTGTATCGTTTATTAAAGTGTTGTAGGGTATTCAACGGTCGGCCCCGCTCGACTGTAGCCTTTGCTTACTTGTTTTTTTTTATTTTTTGTAAAATAACACAAGTAATGCTCAAAAGCATGTGCAAGTATTTTCAATATTTTCTGCTAGGAATATAAATACGTAATGATCAGTAACAATGGAGTGCTTTTCAAAATGTTAAGAATTTAAAATTCAGAAGCGGATAAATTTTTCCATTCCGCCGACGGGGTTTCGTCTTTCGCTTAATTCTTTTTGAAATAACAATTTCAGACCCTATGCAGAATTTGTATTCCAGATATAAGAAAAACTCTAAGTTTATTTTATTATGCCCGTATCTCTGTTGTGAGTATGCTACCTACTAAGCTCATTTGAAACCATTACAGAAAGTCTTAAACTCAGGCGACTTTATGATACCTTACACCACTTTGCATATTTAGTAGAGTTTCACATAACAAATAAAAGTTTTTATGGGGAATTTGTGAGAATTAAATCATAGCAACTATGATTATAGTTGTAATTTAAAGTCCAAAGGAACACATATATATTAGAGGAATATCCTGCTCTGAAATGATTTGAGTCGAAATTTTTGGCAGAGTAATTTTTGCCTTTTTAATACGGGCTTGTATTACCTACCCATTTTGTGCACAATTAACTTGAAATCGGATAAAAAATATGTAGGAGCTACATACAAATCTGGATCGATCTCGACAAAAATTTAGCAATGGTATTTCTGATCTGTATTTGATATATTTCCTCAAATATTGTTGTTACAGAAGGCATCGGATGAAGAATATGTATGGGAGCTATAGATATATCCGAACCGATTTTCAACAAATTTGACATACTTGTTTCTAGACTCAATTTAGTCTTAAGTGCCAAATTCCATCCCATTTGGGATAATATTACATGTTTGGTGCACAATAAAAGCCAAATCGGACGAAGATATGTATGGGAGTTATATCCAAATCTGGACTGATCTCGACAAAAATCTAGCAAAGGTATTTCTGAGCTGCATTTGACATATTTCCCCAAATATCGTTGTTACAGAGCGCATACTATGGCTGCGGAGAACATAAATAACAAATCAGATGAATAGTATATATGGGAGCTGTAGCTATAGCTGAACCGATTTCGATCAAATTTGGCATACTTATTTACAGGCCTAATTTGGTTGTATGTGCAGAACTCCATAATATTTGGTCTGATACACACGTTTAGTGCACAATAAAAAGCAAATCGGACGAAGGGTTCGTCCCTGGGTTAAACAGATTATTTATGCGAAAAAAGGATCGGGCAATCAATGCGACCTGTACTTAATTAACAAAAATACATGAACAGACGGACATGCATAAATCGACGCAGAATGTGATTCTATGCAGATTATCAAAAGGAACTATGGATCTGTTTCCTTTCCTTTTGCCTGTTAAAAACAAATGCGCAAAAGCCATAAAAGCCTAACCACCTTGTGGTGTAGGGTATAAAAGTCTCAAGTTGTGGTGTACGTGTGTTCTATACCTTACTCAGGTACGGGGTGAATTTGTTTGTAACATGGAGAGATCTGTCATAATCACCTTCCGAATCGATATCTGCATCTAGGTCAGTCCATCTGTCAACAAGATACAGGTCGCAGTTTTGTTCCATTGAACCAAAACTTTGCACAATTCATTAGCTGCACAGTTAGAATAGCTTTTGGCACATAGGAACAGATTAAGCCTCGAAGTAATATTATGAAATATTGTGACGTTCGGTTCAGATATATCTATATCCCTTGCATGTATAATGTTTCATTAGATTTTACATTTAAGTCCCTCAAAGGTGTAATATGCACCCAAGATATCAGAAAGAGCCTAGAACCATATTTGCAACATTTTATCAACACCGTTTCAGATTTAGATAGAGTTTTCATTTCCATGTATAATTCCATTGTAAAAGATATTCTAACTGAGCAAAGTTTTTCTATTTAAGATGGATTTATTTTCAGCTTGAATAAACTCTGACAAGTTTAAACCAAATCCTCCGATTTTATATTTAAGGCTAAAGTCACAATATATAATGATACTTGGTACGATAGGTAACTTGCAGCAGAAAAAATCTCTTCGTCAAATTTTGTGAAAATAAATCTAAAAACATATTTTTCCAGTTTGCAATAGTGGATTATAGATATATGTGTTCTTATTATATTTTCAAGCATGGAAAGGAAGTTATTTTAAATTCGTCACCATAAAATTCTAAGTCAAATTATGTTCTTCTGTCTTTCTGTCTGTTGAAATAACGATACGCATTATTTGACGTAGAGCTTTGAACTTTTACATAATGATTTGTATTGTGTTAAGGTATTAAACATGTGGTATATCGGTTGTACAACCATAGGTATGAATTCGTAAAGAGGAGGAGGACTGTGAGAGCTCATCTGATACTTCCCAGATAAATGGAGATAAATTAATACTCTTAATGTACAAAGTGTACTCCTATCAAAAATCATTCAATTAACTTATGCTAAAGTCACCCACTTTATAAAGAATTTATTGAGTAAAAATCGTACAGTGACATATTTAACTCTTAAATTATACGATGGTGCCAAAAAATGTACACTAACCAAATTGAAGAAATGTTTTTGTAGTCCAGTAACTTTATTGTCCCTGAAAAATTCACTTGCCAGCCAAGAGGAAATTAATTCGTCTAAGAGTCAGATAAAATATCTTAACATATGGATATGTGCAGTGATAAATAACTTTTTCAGCTCGAGGAGATATTACAAACGGTATAACAAAGCCATGATCTAAGTGCAACGTCTCAAGGCGTTTCAATTTTTTGTACCACCAAAAAAAAAACAAACTAGGTGTTTGTTCCATCCCCCATTTTTCATCACACCATAATAAAATGTTTAGAGTAATTAATGTTATCGTGCCAGTTGTATCATGAAAATATATATATTACATTTTCAGACATTTGTTGTTGTTTAAAATCCCGATTTTCTTGCGAGTAAAGAAGGGATACAAGATAGCGTGATTTCTTTATATTTGGCTGGAAAACCACAAGTGGCTCTCGTTAGAGCACTCCAGCGTTCGAAAAGTAAAGAAGCGACTTGATCAAAACCCGCGTCGCACTGGCCGAAAATGGCTCGTGAGCTGAACATATCGCAATATTCTATTTGGTAAATATTGAAAAATGAGCTCGGGGTAAAGCATTGAAATTTCAAAAAGTGCAAGAACTGACACCGCAAGTGAAAAAAACAGACTCTAAAGAGGTAAAGAGTTGCTTCGCTTGGCCGAAAGAGGTGAAGTGCCGAATTTGGTTTTCTCCAATGAGAAAACATTCGTTGTACAGCAGTTTGTAAACAAACAAAATGATCGTGTTTACTTGCTAAAGAGGTGAGCTGAAAATGTGCACCTTCGGTTGGCCGCCAGAACTCAAGCGTCGGCTATGGTGATGGTGTGAGCCGCCAACAGGACTCAGCACCATCGAACTCAAGCAAGCAAGGCTGGCACTAAAAAAATACGAAAGTGTCGGTCTCCGCAAACAATCGGGAATGGACCAATATATATATATATATATATATATATATATATATATATATATATATATATATAAACTGCAACAAAATCAAACGCCATAATTTTTAAATTCTTTTTAAATTTTATTGAATGAAATAAATTAAAGTATTAAAGATTGCATTTTTTAGAAATAACAGGGCTAGCAATCTAAAACAACGGGCAGAAAAAGAGAAAATATTGTTTAGATCTTCAGAGTCGTTCCTTATAGAATACTCCAATTCTATAATTTGGTAAGGTATGATTCCTGGTTTATTGATATTGATACTTAATGCAGTACTTGTACATTTTATATAAAAAGCAAATTACAATTTAGAGTAGCATATTTTGTATGGAGTTTGCTGCTAACAGTGGTGTAGAAAGTTTGTTTTTTTACAATTGTTATAGTGTAGTTGCATTTCGAAATAGGCGGCATAGGATAAAATCTTGTTGAAGAAAAATAAAATTCAGAAAAAATGGCTGAAAAATCTGGAAGAATTAGAACGCGGTCCGTGTAAAAGTGAACTGAACTATACATGAACTTTTAGCTATACATATCCTTTAGTATCTCTCCTGAAATCTGATATATTATTTATTTGTAGAAATTAGATTGACGGAGAATAGCTGTCTTTATCTCGATATAATTAACAAAGTGTAGTTTTATCAGAGTTTGCCAATAAATTACAATTTTATATAGTCTGAAACTTTTTAGCAATTTTATTTATTGTTCACAAATTTATATTTTCTTAATGCAATGTTGAACACAACATTTAAACTTACTCTTGTTCTTACTTTCTATTTCAGTGAACTAGCCAGTCCCCGCTGTCAATCACGTGAATCCAATGCCTCCGCTAGCGGTAATAATGAAGCAAGATGTCCCTCAAACGAATCACATTATTCCGCCAATGACACCCACACGTCGGGTCAGACGCCCACGCCCACAACACCACCAGTGGCTCTACCATTACCAGCCACATTGCCACCGGCCGCAGCTGCAGCCCTTCTACCACCCCAGTCTGCTGCTATGGCAGCATATTTTAATGCAGCTGCTGCAGCAGCAGCGCAACAGAACCACTTGCTATTGACAAATCCTCTGGCGGCAGCGGCAACACTTGTGCAGCAGGCTTCCCAACAGCAGTCGCCACGTTCGCCCCACTCCCAACAGGCTTCAACGCCAACACCATCAGACGTTAACACATCGACGGCAACAACAGGTGATGCCGTTGATGCATCAGCTCTAGATTTTAGCACAAAACGTGGCCGACGGAATTCTGATATTTATGGAAATGCCAGTGATGATGGCGATGCAAGTGGCGGTTGTGACATGGATGGCGATGGTGGTGATGCTGAAAAAAATGATAACGATGCCGATAATACCAACGATAATGAAACGGATGACGTGAATAGTCCATTAGATTTATCGGTGAATAATGGACGCAAACGTCACAACGATGAAACTGAAGAACCTGTTGTGATGCCCCACAAAAAATTAGCTCGCTCAAACGATTACAAATCAATGCCAGCATCCAGCACCTGGGTGCCACCAATTAATCCCTACTTGGCCGCCGTTGCAGCGGCTAGCATGTCACCAAAGACACCGCTCTCTTTGGACTGGAATGCAAAAACGAAAATTTCACCAAATGAAGCAACCAAAGCTCTGGAAAAAATGACTGAAATGACAAGACTTGGCTCTGCAGCCACCGAACCAGATACTCCCACAAGGCATTCAGCGAATTCCGTTAACTCGCACAACAGTTCAGCTGGTACTCCCACCAACGGACGACACAGTGCTTGGCAATCACATTGGCTTAATAAGGGAGCAGATGCTGTCAAAGACGTCTTCAAGTGTGTGTGGTGCAAGCAAAGCTTTGCCACTTTAGCCTCGCTGACAACGCACATGAAGGAAACTCAGCACTGTGGTGTCAATGTTCCTCCTCCTGCGGTTGCATCGGCTGCCAATGCGGCTCATCCAGGCGGCAATCAAGCTGCTCCATCTCCACATCATGCGCGTCACTCAACCACGCAATCCGGTACGTCTCACAGTCCAGCATCATCGGTCGGCAGCAAATCTGATCTAAACATGCTAATCAAAGAAACAATGCCACTGCCACGCAAACTGGTGCGTGGCCAAGATGTGTGGTTGGGCAAAGGAGCCGAACAAACGCGTCAGATATTGAAATGTATGTGGTGTGGACAGAGTTTCCGCTCCTTGGCCGAAATGACAAGTCACATGCAAGAAACACAGCACTACACCAACATAATATCACAGGAGCAAATTATTTCTTGGAAGTCCACCGATGATAAGGGATCACGTGATAATAGCAGTTGTGGTAGCAGCAATCGTGGATGTCCAAGCACCAATTCGGTCAACACAAATCCGGGCAGTGTGACAGCTCCATCTCCCCATTCTCCCGCTACAAGTGGCAATCCCACAGTTGCAGCAGTATTGACATGCAAAGTTTGTGACCAGGCCTTCCCTACATTGAAAGAATTGAGTTCTCATATGGTTAAGAACAATCATTATACAGAGCACATGATGAGAACTAATGCTACGGCTGCTCCTCCGCCGGAAAGTGCGCCGACCATGATACGCAGCCGTAGTCGCCAAGGAAAGGAGAAACGTAAGAAATCGCTACCAGTTCGTAAACTCCTAGAAATGGAGAGGGCTCAACAGGACTTTAAGTCGTCAGGTATGGACCAGGCTCTGACTCCACTAAGAGAATTCAAAGCCACTACAAAACTACAGTGCGAAACTTGTGGCGAGAGTTTTGGCCTGGACATATTTGTTGAACATATCCGACAGTGCATCACTTTGGCAACCGAAAGGGAAATGGCAATGGAGCGATCTATGAAGACTAGAATCAGTAACGATGATGTATCAAAGACTTCGTACATGCAACCACCGTCAATGGCACCGGATTATACCATGAGCAGCCATCAAATGCCCTCTACGGCAACGCGAAGTGAAAGCCGTAAAACTATGGAGGGTAGTGGCTCACCTCTTTCGCATACTCCAGGAGGGGACATTATTTGTCCTTTGCCATCCGACTCAGACAAATCATCCAGTGGAACCTCTGTTTTAAACGCTTTAGAGCAATTGATAGAAAAAAGTTTCGACTCGCGGCCTCGTCATGCAAGTGGCTATGGCGAAGGCTCTGCGACACCTTTGGGCTCAAGCATTCTCAAACGTCTAGGCATTGATGATAATGTTGATTACACCAAACCCCTAATGGATCCCCAAACCATGCAATTTTTACGCTCCTATTCATCGTATGCCCCATCAAGTCGAGATCGCAGTGCCAGTGAGTCCAGTTCCATATCAGAACGTTGCAGCAGTCGTCTAGAATCGTTTACACCAGAGCGCAGTTTTGAACTTTCGCGACAACCAACGCCACGTTTAACCCCTGAAAAGTTCACACCAAACACCAAAGAATCATCATATCCTGTAAAAATCAAATCCGAACCGGTGGACGCGACCGACAGTGAAGAAACTGAAGGAAATGTCGCTGTATCAGAAACACCCAAAACGATTTCAGTCAAGAAAGAGTTTTCCATGCCGGAAGAGTCTGAAGATTTTACCAAAGCTAAAGATCTCACAGAAAGAAGGAGCTCGGTTACTCCTGGTTCCCGTAGTCCTAGTATTAGTGAGAGATCCATAACTCCCAAGTCTGCAGCATCGGTGGGCGATAAAAAACTCATGGTTGGTTTGCCGGAATGCAGTAGTTTAAGTGCTCTATCTTCCATGTTTAACAATCTGAGCAATATACATTCGACGAATGCGAGCACCGCGATAGCTGAAATGAATAATAACAATGCCAACAGAACGACCTCGCCAGCAGTTGCAAACGTCAAAAAACCTAACGCCAATCCTTTGGCTGCTCTTCAGAAACTATGCGACACCAATGATAAGCCCATTGCATCTACACGCAGCTCATCTGCCAGTTTGATGGGACATTTGACTTCGCCCAATTCATCATCGAATAGTGCAAATGTGACAGGTGGTTGTGGTAATGGTGGAGCTGCAGCGTCCACACCGAGTGGCAATAACAGTTCTGGAATGCTTGCTTTTAGCTGGGCCTGTAATGATGCTGTAGTGACAGCGGATTCTATTATAAAATGTTCCTTCTGTGATACACCCTTTAACTCGAAGGGCGCCTATCGTCATCATCTCTCCAAAGTGCATTTTGTTAAGGAAGAATCGGATGTCATAAGCTTGAAATCGCCAAATTCATCGCCCAAGTCGCATACGGCTTCCCCAAAAAGCAGTATTAACTCTTCAAAGAGTCCTGTTTCCCAGCGAGCTGTTCCAACACCACCGTCAGCGGTGATGTCCACATCATCGACAACGCCCACTATTAATCCATACGACGAGAGTCCACAAGCCAAATTTCTAAAATACACCGAGTTGGCTAAACAATTATCAAGTAAGAATGCCTAAGTTAAGATAAAGGAAGAAGGACTTGAATAAAAAACTAAGCTAAAAACTATATTAAATCCGTAAAACCGATTTCAAGTTTTGTTAATAGTTATCGTTTCAAAGAAAATTTCACATTCGAACTATTTAGCTCATAGCTGATGATATGGAAAAAAGAAAATATTGAAAATTGAACATTTTGTATTTGCAGCTAATTTTCTATTCACTCTGCTATTAAATCGTATATTTATTTATGAAATCGCGTTCGATTTGTGAACCGATCTTAGTCGTTCCCTCCTGAAAGGCAACTTGTTCATTCATATAGTTCCTTCGTTTAAATAAGATAGTTAATTTAGCTATAACTTTAGTTTCAAAAGCACGGTCATTTTTGATTGGTTTTCGTACACGTTTAATGTTTAAAAACCTTTAATAGAACAAAATTCAGAAAACTATGAATACACAATCCGCTATTTCCATCCGCCCTTTAAATTCGAAAAAGATTAAATTTAAAAGGGAGCTAATCAGACGGCTTGTTCAGGGAACATTGAACTATTGATCCCAAACTAATCAGATGAGCTGGTTCCGGTGTTTTCCTTCACGTAATTGTTTCTTTGAACGAGTCAATACGGGAACAAGCATTTATTTTTAATCCGACAATCAAGTTCGAAAATTATTACTCTTAAAGTTTTAAAAACGAAGTAATTTTTTCCAGTATTTACTGTACTGTACTGTATACAATGCAGTAATAACCGTGCTTTATATCTTAGAAAAGCAACTCATGCACGAATTTAAATCGACTTTAGTCTACCGCCGAAACAAGGGAGGTGGACGTGAAGATTGCTTCAGACATTTCCTGAACATATCGCATAATTGGTTATTTCGATTTCTAAAAAAATTGTAATACGCGTCCACGTTTTTGTGAAGTACCCCAAATTAATCAGTCCTACCTAATTTTCTATATACCTATAATTTACCTTATTTTCGAACTTGAAACTCCAACTCATGAACGTTCTGATCTGGCCATATCAAAATATTACTATTGGAAGGCGATATTACATAAGGTTGTCCAATAGTCATTTAACTGATAAACATCTTTTATAGGAAAAGAATAGATACCTTAAACTGTAATTTATTTAAAACAAAACGAACACACACGCACACATATCATGAAACACACACATGTGTAGCAGACAAAAAAAAAATGGCAACAAAAATTATTATAAACGATTTACTATTAATTACCACACTTAAGCAACTTGCTTACCTTTGGAAAATCGCTCATAAAGAATACAACAAACAATAACATTCACGCCACATAAACTCAATAGGAATGCTTTCATAGCCTCTCCAAATGCAAACAATTCGCCAACCATCTCTAAACAAATAATGGTAACGTCATGTGTATGAGTTACGCCATCATCCATCCATACATATGGAAAAACAACAACAGAACAACAAAAGAGCCAGCAAACAGGTACCCAAACAAGGTCCACCAGAGCAAAAAAATAAACTAAAACAGAATCAAGCTCCTCCTCACTTACTGCCAACCAACATCATTCGCATTCATTTGGCTGGGGCTAACAAACAACGACAACAACACGAAACTGAAATAGACAGACAATCAAGCAGTCAGACATATGCACACACATACATGTATTGGTTATATTGACGAGCGCCGAAAGTTCGACCACCGATCGACCACACCACACCGTTGTTTGAACTCCCCAAAAGATAACCAAAAAACATGTCTGGGAGACATGGCATAATGCAAGCAAACTCATTCTCCAGCTTTTGCGAGTACTCACACATACATGCTTACTCTCATTAATTGAAATAACTTTTCAATTTTCAACAAAGCCATTGTGCGAATGGTCAGGTGCTCTTTAAGATTTTATTCGGAAAAATATCCGCTGTCATCACAATAGAGCTGAACTTTATTAAGAATAATTCTTGAATTATTTTTTGGAAGGAAGTTAACTGAAAAATTAATAAACATTAAAAAACTAAGAGAAAATTGAGGAAAGCTCTTCACGGATTTTAATGCGCCCGTTATAGGATTTTTTGAAATAATTTAACGACTGTGATACATTCATTGACAAGCCATTTCAAATTAAACCTATTTGTTTTCAAAATTTTGATGTTGATTGGTTAAGTTTTCAAAATGTTGCAAGTTTGAAGACTGAGCTGCATTATAAATGTTTTCAAAGCTTTTGCAAGTATGTTTTCACATAAGAGTGGTACTCTTCAATTTAACTAAAAGAGATAAATTGTGTACATTTTATATCTTTTCTCTTATTGGTATCTATGTTCAACAATAAGAGTTCCTAGTGCACAACTCTTTTTAAAATTATTCTCCTACAAACGGGAGTATGTTCCCCTATTTCCAAAGAAGAAAAGAGAAACATCTTCAGGGGAATTATTTTTAAACTTTTCATAAGACAACATGTTTATAGCAAAAAAGCTCATTCCTTTCCACTATGTTCCTCTTAAAAAGCTTTTATATTTCCCCTTTTGTACTATAGCTATCTCTGTCATAAGGTAACATAAACAATTCTTAACACTGACAGGCATTCATCAATTTGAAAAATAAACCAACAACTGTGCCCCCACTCAAAACAGAACAACAACGATGAGTCCTCATCACGATTTGTATTGTTCTCAATTAAATCATCATTGCGCACACACGTTTAACTCCCACAATCGCAAAAGAAACAAAATGCACTGCAAAAGTTTTCATCCATGCGCATTGTGTGTGATTCTCTCACCGTGCCACTCATATCACTCTCTGAACTATTGGCGAACGAACATCCATCTTGCCATTCATATTTCGTTGCTGTTGTTGTTTCTTGTTTTTGATGAACTGCTGTCCATCATTCGCCGCCGCCGCCTTTGTTCGTTGCACTCGTGTCGGCTGAGTAGTCGTGGCCTCGACCTCCCAGAAAAGGAATATGGAAAATGCTGTTGTGAGGATGAGCCATGTACCAGAAAGAGACACTTGTATATTGTATTGGAAATTGTGCAAAGCAAAATTGTAAACTCATTGTTTGTATGACTCGGTGTGTGTGCCTGTGATTGTTTGACATCTAAAAGAGAGACAGAGAGTGATGAAATGCCAAATCGTGAAAAGAGTTGGCACTCGCAAATACACATATACACCGGCATACAGTAGTTTCAACCCGTTGTTATTTAAAAGCACTAGCAACAACACAAACTGCCTCTGTTGTTGCTACTATACACCCATTTAAAAGAATACAACAGCGACAACTCGAGAGCCAGCACATTTGTGAGCAAATCAAACAAAATTGTTGGCCTCGTAAAAAGGGGTGTGGGTTAAATACAAAATCGTCAGCAAATAACAACAACGACTGCACTTGAATCCCATCCAGTATTATTTATTTTGCTTTAGTCAAACCAGTATTTTTCTGGTCGATTGGTTTGAGCGACGGTAAATGCCAATGTTTTGGCAATCCTTTGCTTAGAGTTGGGAGCCTTAAGATGGTGGAGACCTGTAGGAGAGTTTGTTGTTTCTGCTTCGTTATTTGTTTGTCTACCTAAACACACACACAGAGACACTCACATCTGCTGTGTTTTTCGCCTTTTTCTTCTTGGGTGTGCACGTTAAATGTTTGAATTGTTTGCAGTTGGTGTGATAATTTATGAGCGACAAGTGTAACATTGCTGAGTGATATATTAATTATCACAAGGTAAACGAACGACTAACTGTGGACCGCGGACAAAATTTAAAATAATTAGAGTGAATTAAAAAAAAAATAAGTTTGTAGGTATTTATATTTTTTGTTTTGGAGTTTGCCTTATGCTTTCAATTACTTTCAATTACGTTTTCCTTTACAATAAGAAATGTTTTATTTCTAATGTAAGACTCTTATTGTGATTTTGAATGAATTAATTTGATATCTGTAACACACAATTTAAAATTTGCACATAATTCGAATTGTTTAATTGTAAATCGAATTTTTCCATTTGTAATTTGAAACTTTAGTATTTTTATATAATTATTTTATTTCTATTTTGATTTGTTACATTTGGAATTCAATTGGTTCAATTTATATATATTTATATATTTATATATATAAATTCCAATTAGCATAAAAATTGATAATTGAGTCTATAATTTAAAGAATTTTTTATTTGTAAACTCTGATTATTAAATATGGCGAAGCCTTATAAAGGGTACCACGTAATTGCGGGGCACAACTTGCAAAGACTTAGTTGTAAATATACATCTTGATTTCCTGAGGAATGAAAAATCTCTTTTTTCAATATCGGTCCATGTTTTGATATCTCGTGACGATATTTCCAAATGTTCTAGAATATCGTCCATGCATCGCAAACTCAAATTGTAGGTACTTTGAAAAAAAATTGTTACATAAGATATCTTATTGTGTGGATGTAAAATGGCATACCAATTCGAAAGAAAAATCAGTCAAATTTTAAAAAATAACATCAGTTCCTTGGAATTAAGGCCTATCTGTATAGGCTTAAAACGAAAAAAATTCGGGAAACTTAGATCAGTTCCTATAGAGCAAACCAGGAATAATGTGATGTTAGTAATTGTGAAACGATATTTTCTTAACAAAACTTGAAATATAAAATTCTATCTAACAACAGATCTGATCATTACCAGTTTTATTTCAGCATAATAATGTATTATCATTCCGTAAAATCATTTAGATTATAATATATTAAAAAAAGGTGCCAAAATTTAAGTATAAAAACTTATTAATACTATAGAGAGTATATTAAAAATACCATAAATTACATTTTAGACCTACCCTACCAAGCAAATATAATTAAGTACGAAATTTAAGTATACGTAAAATTTGTATTTAAGACAGATAAACAATAATTGGATTTAAATATTTCGTTTTTTTTTTTTCTCAAAACTAACAAAATTTAAAAAAAAAAAACATTGTAATTTTTAAGGTACTATTAGGAAAGTACTTACAAATATTGTAGTGCAGTAAAAAGGGAAGTGTACTTCTGTAAATTTAAATGAAAATATTTATAATTATACACCATGAGGTGGTAAGCTGAACGATTTGTCATTTCAAGGGCATAGAAAATTACATTAACCCAAATGACCGAAATATCAATTTATGACTTCCCAAATGGTTTGTAACAATCTTGAAACTTCAAAATCAAAATTTTTTCTTTTCTATTAGGAGATATGATCGTCATTGAAGTAACGAAACCCATGTATACGCAAAGTAATTTAACTACCTATAGATTTTAGATAATTCATAGCATAAACTTTATACATACTATACAATGAAATAATACTGAAATACCTATATATATGAACATAAAATAAAGTAACTATTTTTTATGCCTAATTTATTACACTATTACTGAATAGTAAAATATTCTTAGGTATTCTTTGTTTTTTTTTTGTTTTTAGTTTTGGCAATGCCTAATCACTATTCGTAAAGACTTCTTTAAATTCGCAACTAATTATTAATTATACTGTAACATTTCTTCCTTTATTTGATTTGTGATATTATTTTTAAAGCAGATATCAGTGTAAATGATTACACGCAAAAGTAATTATACGTTCATTCTATATATATATAGACGATCCTCACTTTCTTATAATATATCTTAGTCATGTAGTTGTGAAACAAGCAGTAGTTTATACACATAGTATACTTGCAATAAATAAATAAAAAATATTTTGTTAAAACTATTATGACAATTAGCATATAACCCATTATTGAAAAGAAAAAATCAATATACCCCATAATAAATTCCAATGATTATCATAAATAAAACAATGAAACATATAACCAAAACCAGGCTCAAAATACATACCTAATCTAAGAAGATAAAATAATAAAAAAAAAACAATGAAAGAAACAATTAAAATAAAATTGTGTGTTTTAAAAGAAACTTTATCGATGATATCAACAAAAAAAAAATGCTGGTGTTTTATTCAGGGTATTTTGAACAACAACAAGGGATGTTATTTTGGTGTTTTCTAGATAAATGATCGGATGTTTATTCCATGATGTGGAGATAGGTGTGTCCTGATACTATGCTTTGCTGTTGGCGTAAATCTAAACCTTCACATGGCCCTAAAAGAAGAAATCGCAAGATGTTAAATCGTAGGATCTCGGTGGCCAATTGTGATCACCTTTTAGAGAGAGAGAGAGAGAGAGAGAGTGGTTGTGTTGCCTGTGTGATACATAGTGTCATAGTAGTGAAAATAAACATTGTCTCGATCAAAAGCAATCAACCGCGATCATTACAATCACTAACCATATCTCAATAGTGCAATCCGTTGGCCGTTAAGGAGGGAGTGGCTTTTCAATAATAATTCTTACGCCAACTGCGAATATTTGGTTTGTTGACGTAGCTATCGAGGTGGACACTTAGGGGTATATAGAATTTGATACTGCCAAAATGTGACTCAACGAAATAACGGTTCTATATACTACTTATCGTTGAACGAAATACATCGAATATTCCCTTCAGATTATTTTCAAATAAAATAATTTCTCTCATAGAACGCAAACGGGAGCATTGGATTTTATTAAAGCTTGGCGTATCTTAAAAATCCGCCTTAGGCCAAGTGCGAAAATGGTCGAAATCAGTTCACTCCTTCTGGTACATCTCCAGGTTGAATAATTATAACTCTATCTACATTAGATAAAGTGTGAATATGGGACTTATCGTCCAAAACTCCTAGTACCTTCCCACAAAGGGTTAACATTTTGAATAATTATAACTCTATTGAAATGCGAAACCAGTCAGCGGGTGTCTTTCAAACTTCGTGTCTCAAATTGTCTGTTAACTATGTGTAGATGTGAATATGGAATATGGAGGATATACAATGTGAATTGAGAATATGAGAAAAATATCTACGTTTTTATACCCTCCACCATACTATGGAGGATATATTAATTTAGTCATTCCGTTTGTAACTCCTCGAACTACTCATGTCAGACCCAATAAAGTATATATATTCTTGATCAGCGTAAAATTCTAAGACGATTTATCCATGTCCGTCTGTTTGTTTGTGTGTCTGTCTGCCTGTCTGTTGTGATCTTTCGAACAAATTGAGATAGAAGGCTAAAATTTTGCCCACAAGTATATTTTGCCAGTAGGCAGGTTAAGTTCATAAATGGACCATGTAGGTCCAAGTTATCATATTGCCCCCCCCCCTCCATATAACAGTACCTTCACCGGAATTGTTTCAAATTTGGCATTTTAAGATCGTAATGGATACTGCAGCCTAAGACAGAAAATAATCTGTGTAGGTCCACGTCTTCGTATAGCCCCCATATAACGGTACCCCCCGATATTCGGTATTTTGATGATTTTAGCGACATTATTTACCGGAATTTTTTCAATTTTGGTATTTGAAGTTCGAAATGGATACTACAGCCTATGACAGAAAATTGTCTAAGCAGATCCACGTCTTCGTGTAGCCCCATATAATTGTGCCTCCCAGTATTCGATATTTTGATGATTTTAGCGTCATTATTCTCAGAATCGTTTCAAATTACGTATTAAGAGTTCGTAATGGGAACTACAGTCAGTGACAGAAAATTGTATACAGGTCCAGGTCTTCGTGTAGGCCCCATACATCAGTAACTCCCTATATTCGGTATTTTGACGATTTTGGGTACAATACCCAAATTGTTTGAGTTGTCGTATTTGAAGTTCGTATTGGATGCTACAGCCTGTGACAGAAAATCGTCTATGCTGGTCCAGGTCTTCGCACAGCTCCGATGTAACGCCACCTTCCTATATAGCATATTTTTATGATTTTAGCTACATAATTCACCGTTTGTTTCACGTTTCGAATTTGAATATGGTAATGGCTTATGACAAACAAAGCATATGTAGGTCCACGTCGTATAGACCCCAATATAACGGCTATAGAATTTGTTAAGGATTCTATTTTTTGAAATTTTCCAAATTTGTTCCAAACGGTGGAGGGTATTTAAAGTTCGGCCCGGCCGAACTTACTGCTTTTTAACTTGTTACCAACTGGTTAATTTTATCAATATCGGTTTAGATTTGGATATAGCTCCCATATATATCTATATCCCATTTCAGGTTTATTGTATACCAAATTGTTAATATCAGCTCAAATCAAGGGTATTTTGGCACGTACGAACTAATTCAACCGAATTCAACTCGAATATTTTTCATAAATATATGAAAATAATATTTCTGAACTTTATTGAATCTGATTTCGTTGACGTATGTAGTCAGACATCGGAGGTAAAGCCACAGTCAGGGAATGGTTTAGAGAATTTTGCTTCAAAATATCATTTTGTTGGTTGGGACACCCAAAATTATTTCTGGTTACGTCGGTGATCAGAGATATAGAAATTCCCTATATGAAGCTAGAGGGCGCATAAGGCAATTGTCAAGAAATTTTATATGGTCAAAAACCAGAATAACTATTTTCCAGGACTATATCTTATCATTTCAAAAATAAAATGAACCAAAAACATGAATACGCAAGAAATACGTAAAATGTTCCTCTAGCCAACATTGTTTCCAGAAATATTGCCGCAAATTATGGATGAAACATATATATGGGAGCTATAGCTATATCTGAACCGATTTTCACCAAATTTAATGGACTTGCTTCTAGACTGAATTCGGTCGGATGTGCCAAAATTCAGGTCGTTGTACTGATATTGGCTATTTGATGCACAATTAACCTGAAATCGGATGAAGATATATATGGGAGCTATATCCAAATCTTAGCCGATCTTGACAAAATTTGTTACGCTTAT